CCCATTAGCATGAATTCACCGGCTGGCCTTTTCTGCAGAGCCGAGAGAGTAAAACTCACTGTCCTATGTCACTCAGCATTGCTCTGACACTTAAACACAGATAAAAGATAGAAGGTAATCAATGACTCTGGAATCTCTGTTATATCCAGATGGAAGAGTTTAAAGATACTTACTCTCCTGAGCACAAACAGTAGGGTCTGAATGTTAAATATGCAGTTAGGCTGGAACACGAAGCTGGAGAGCCAGGCAAAGAAATAATAAACTGTGAAAGAATCTAAAATAAAGTAAACATCCTTATGAAGATGTGTGTCTCATCTGCTTCAGTAGATTTTTGATGCTGACAGTGAAGTCAAGTTGGGCCAGTGGTTTCCTAATATAAATGCAAATGAGCACATTGCTTTGCAGCCCCATTACAAGGCCTCCTCTAAAGATCTGTGCTGAAATAGTTTCCCATCTGCTGAGCAGTAGAAAGTTGCAAATTCTTGTGCCACTACACCAACAAATGCCATGATTATATGAGTATCCTGCAGACAGAGCATGTAATGGGAAATAACCTAGAATACATGCAGTAACATCCCAAGGTCGTGAAAAGGGGCAGATAGTATCATAGATACACTTCCACTCTACTGAATTTTTCAGCCCAAACAAAACCTGCCAAAGGTATATCGAGGACAATAACGTTCCCAGGAGCTTTGGATTACAAGCCTATGAAAATCAACAAGTCATTCCATTGATTGCAAAGGTGTTAGGAAAGATTTGGACATATGATTAGTTTGCTCTGCATTGCTAAGATTACAGTCCTCTTAAAGAAAGATACAACAGAGCCTACAGTTTCTCACATCTACACAGATTATTGCAATACAGAACAGCACTGACATGTTGAGGGCTGTTTCACTCCTAGTTTGCCAATACCAGTACTGGAAAACAAATATAATGGTATAGTGAAATAGTGTATAGTGATACAGTAAAAGTAATGCATCTTGCTGAAGTGATCTTAAAAAAGAAGAGTGTATTTCTGCACCTGAGAAGTATCATTAAGACAATCCCAAATGTCAAGTCTCAGACCTTTATGATTTGAAACAGGTAACTAGAAAATACCCATAATTCAGTTTGATGTCAGTAAAGTAACTCCATATTCAGTAAGTGAAATCCAGCAATACCAAATAAGGCAGCATTTTTATTCAGGATTACAGCAACAATATAAACTGTAAAAGCAAAGTCCAAAGTAAAAAGTTCAACTTATTAAAATACTTTCATTGTTTTATAGTGGTTGTGTATTAACACAAACCATGTTGAACAGAATGTAGATGTTCTTGGCCAGCTAGTGGTTTTCCCAAAGTTACTCTCAGCAACTGGCCTTTCATCCAGCATAAAAGGATCCTATGCTACTTTTTGCTTTCATGGATCTCAACAAGAATTTCCAGATGAAGTTAGCATCTCAAATCAGGAAAAAACATGTAGAGCACCACTTAAAAAGTACAGCAGTTTTTTCCTGTAATCACTGACTGCAGCTGTTTCAGCTTTCTGATGGCCAAGACAGGAAACTCCTTCTGAGAAACATGTTCATCAGGACACAAAGTGAAGAAGCTGGCTTGTAGGATTTCGGTTACGGAAAACACTTTCTAAAAGGCTCCTTTCATGCCAGCATTCCATCCTATGCATGTTCCAGTTGTGCTGTGATGTGCATTATGCATGTGGCCCTACAGCCCTGATAGTGATAGGGTTGGGCTTAGTTTGATAGATCAGCTTAGTTTGACATGTACTTAATCTTATCGACTTAGAGCCTTTCCTTTGGCTGAAACTAAATCTTGCCTAAGACCTACCAGATAGACTTGATGCAGCAGGCATCGGGAGTGGAGACAGCTGG